CAGTGTGACTGTCGCAATAGGACTTGCATTTCTTAGGTAAGAAATACTTTTTTCGGGATAAAATCGACAACCAGAATTCGTAGAATAGTTAAAATGTTATCTGTAAATACTGTTTTAGTAGATGTATGTATAAATTTTTTCACCAATTTACGTTTTCGTCGGTATTTTCATCAAAACTTCCAGGTCCTAGGTTACCACTTATACTGTCATTCTAATTCAATGTTATAAAAAGCATTGTTTTTTAACATTTAAGTACTGTTTTGTTAATTGTAATCGATTTTTTATAAAAATGCCGATAAATGTCTCTCATACTTGCGAATATCCATATTCGTATTAGCATACGGTAAATAAAAATATCTCGGTTAGTCTATATTCAAATTGTTTTTGGGTACACATTTACAGCATTTATATGAAATATGCAAAATTGATATTAGTAGTTGTATAAAATAAGAAACTACTAATAAATAAAAATATTAGCTAAAAATTAGCTTTTAATCCATATATCGATAATTTTATATACTATTCAAAAACATTAATGATTATTGGTGCATCTTTTGCCTGTGTATCAGTAGGTAAATAATATGCAATTTGTAAATGTATCTCAAATTAAGCAAACATTCAGAAAGTAATACAGTAGAGCTTTGATAATTTAAACCTCGATAACGTAATAACCTCTATAAATTCATAAAATTTTGGTTTCTTTCCCCTCGAAGTCCAAAACCTCTATTACTTAAAATAAAAACCCTCTACAACTTAAAGGAATAATATGGGCATCGCACCTCAGTAAGCAGTGAAAAGTGGTTTGAATCGGGAGAAAATCTTCTATGTAAAAGACGAAGAATTGCTGAATTTCCTAATTTAGAAAAATGCTTGTTTACATGATTTAGATACTGTAGAAATATGTAAAAACTTTAGTGGTAATGGACTTATACTAATGGAAAACGGTGAAGAGTTTGCTAAGTCACTGGAAATCCATAATTTTAAAGTTTAAACTTAAACTGTTAGCAAGTAAAAACATCAATAACTCAAATTATTTTACATTTCCCTTAGTCTTTATCTCATCAAGGTTCTACTGTATATCCAACTAATCAAATACGACCTTAAATAATAAAATCCAGTTTACAATCTGATTCTCCTTTATATTTGCACAAAATCAAAAAGTTATGTAAACAATTTTTTTTTTATTTCAGGTTGTTGCAACAACAATAAGTGCTCGTTCGACTGCCCTTTAAATTCGTTCGCGAAAAGTCAGTGCCGTTCGTGATCGGTGGTGTAAAGTGATATGTGTAGTGTAATGTACAATGGAATATTATGGTTATGGTACTGGTACCCTGAATCAATCAACATGGAGCACGAAGGACGAGCGGAGGTGTCTTGGACGTCAAAGGATAACTTCAGGTTTCTTATTATTAGAAACTACCAAGTAAGTCGCATTAATACTAACTGAATTGTTTCAAATAGAATTGAGTGGCAAGTTTTACCACAATTTGAGACGTTATAGGGTTCCTTCGGTTGTTTAATTATCCTTTTGATTTCCCATTTTTCGTCACATACTGTAATTATTTGTAGTTTCTTGCCACTTGGTCTATTTGATTTTTTTTATGTCTTTCAGGGAGTGTAGTAAATAAGACTGTGTTGTGAAAGTGTTAAGGTAAGTAGGTATAGTACGTATGATGTTTATACCTAGTGTTAGAAATATCGGTAAAAGTAATGCCAATTTTTCTTAAACGATAACGTATTCATTATAATATTTATTTGAAACAAAGAATATTGTATCATTTAATTTAAAAACCCACCACAGTTCCGACATCGTAACTGATCAACTGATTCACCATGACAGGTATTCTCTAAAATATTATTTCTATTGTTGCGTTTGTATCTCATCTACCTACAACTATTGAATAATTAACAACTGAAAATTGAAATTGTTATTTTATTACATTTAGTAAGTAACTATATACATTTATTTATTGCTTATTAACTACAGTCGAACTTGGTTGTAACAACATCGGTTATAACGATAACACTATAATATAGTGTCAATTTTAGTCCTTAAACTTATTCACCCCCTTCATTCCATTCCATCAGTTATGTATTTCATGTTAAATTATAAACATACGAGTTATTTAAGAGTTTGATGGTTTGACTTTAATTTTTTTATGAGTAAGTATTTCTAAAAAAGTTAAGCATGGGGTTCCAAATGTAGAAGATCCACCGGGCTCAATGCAATTTAAATTTTTATTACACAACACCGCGGTAGGATGTCTTAAGCTGTAATGTGTTTTTGCGAAATCGAAGGAAATGACTCCTATTTAACCAATCTTTGAATTTGGATGCGCAAAATTTCACTCTTTACAGGGTGGTTCAAACATGTATTAATTTGCGTGGTATAAAAGTGTAGTAGAGTGTCGTAAAGTGGCAGTCGCTTTAACGAAAATTTGTTTTTAAGAAATCGAAGAAAATGATTAATAATTTCGGCTCCTTTTTAACCAGTTTTCCAAATGCAAAATTTCATTTTTTACAGTGTGGTTCAAGCACGTATTAATTTGTATGATATAAAAAGTGCGGCAGTGTTGAAACATGGTTTGACCAAAATCTCTTTTTACAAAATCGAAAGAAAGGATTCATAATTTAAACACTCTTTAGCCAATTTTCCAACTGCGAGATGTTTCTATTTACAGCTGTTCTAGCTAATTTAAACTTTTTTGTTATGACAGAGCAGCAAGGTGTCGCAATGGAGCATGCTTTTTTAACAAAAATCTATTTCTGCTAAATCGAAGGAAATTATTCATAATTTTTCCAATTTTCCCTCTTTACAGTGTGGATCAAGCATGTTTTAATTTATATGATAAAAAAGTGCGGTAGAGTTGTAAAGTGACATGTGCTTTGTCAAAAATATGTTTTTGCAAAATTGAAGGAAATGATTCATAACTTTGACATCTTTTTAACCAATTTTCAAATTTGGACACGCAAATTTTCACTCTTTTCCCCGCTAGGGCCTCGAATGTCTGCCACTAGATATATGATATATTTGTGTTGCTACAAAACTTTGAAACGGTCGGTGGCGTATTGGCCCTTTGGCACCTCGTTCGACAGAAGTAAAAGTTGCCTTGTTAACATAGTTGGCTATAACTAAGTTCTACTGTATGTGTAAAGAATACGTTTTCTAAAATTAAGCTTAAGTACGGATCTGTAAGTAATGCAATATTTGCACACTTTGAATAGTAGGTAGCAATAACATAAAATATAGACGACAAAGTAATCTATGAGATGAGTTATTAATTTTTGTTTTTCTCTTTCTTTTTCAGCTTTTCCATGATAATTATTATTTTATTTTGCTCATAAGATATTAATATCGAAAGTACTCAAAATCTCAACGAAAAAGCTACTTCGGAACAAACGGCCGCCTAATGTTTTCTAATTTCAATTATTANAAACAAAAAAAAAGAGATCAAAGCTCTTCAATTTTTTAACAACGGTACTTTAACAAAGAGTGCTTAGAAATTAGAGGTTACAAAAATTGCCTGTAGGCGGCGTCCATTTCTAAAGCAGTGTGACTGTCGCAATAGGACTTGCATTTCTTAGGTAAGAAATACTTTTTTCGGGATAAAATCGACAACCAGAATTCGTAGAATAGTTAAAATGTTATCTGTAAATACTGTTTTAGTAGATGTATGTATAAATTTTTTCACCAATTTACGTTTTCGTCGGTATTTTCATCAAAACTTCCAGGTCCTAGGTTACCACTTATACTGTCATTCTAATTCAATGTTATAAAAAGCATTGTTTTTTAACATTTAAGTACTGTTTTGTTAATTGTAATCGATTTTTTATAAAAATGCCGATAAATGTCTCTCATACTTGCGAATATCCATATTCGTATTAGCATACGGTAAATAAAAATATCTCGGTTAGTCTATATTCAAATTGTTTTTGGGTACACATTTACAGCATTTATATGAAATATGCAAAATTGATATTAGTAGTGGTACAAAATAAGAAACTACTAATAAATAAAAATATTAGCTAAAAATTAGCTTTTAATCGATATATCGATAATTTTATATACTATTCAAAAACATTGATGATTATTGGTGTTTCTTTTGCCTGTGAATCAGTAGGTAAATAATATGCAATTTGTAAAAAAAATATTTTATGCATCTCAAATTAAGCAAACATTCAGAAAGTAATACAGTAGAAGCTTGATAACGTAATTACCTCTATAAATTCATAAAATTTTGCGTTTCCTTCCCCTGAGAGTCCAAAACCTCTATTACTTAAAATAAAAACCCTCTATAACTTAAAGGAATAATATGGGCATTGCACCTCAGTAAGCAGTGAAAAGTGGTTTGAATCGGGAGAAAATCTTCTATGGAAGAATTGCTGAATTTCCTAATTTAGCAAAATGCTTGTTTACATGGTTTAGACAGTGTAGAAATATGTAAAAACTTCAGTGTTAATAGACCTACACTAATGGAAAACGGGGAAGAGTTTGCTAAGTCACTAGAAATCTATAATTTTAACACTTAAACTTAAACCCTTAGTGAGTAAAAGTCTCAATAACTCAAATTATTTTACGTTTCCCTTGGTCTTTATCTTATCGAGGTTCTACAGTATATGCAACTAATCAAATACGAACTTAAATAATAAAATCCAGTTTACAATCTGATTCTCCTTTATATTTGCACAAAATCAAAAAGTTATGTAAACAATTTTTTTTTATTTCAGGTTGTTGCAAGAACAATAACTGTTCGTTCGACCTATACGAGTTCCCTTCAAATTCGTTCGCGTAAAGTCAGTGCCGTTCGTGATCGGTGGTGTAAAGTGATATGTGTAGTGCAGTGTACAATGGAATATTATGATTATGGTACTGGTACCCTGAATCAATCAACATGGAGCACGAAGGACGAGCGGAGGTGTCTTGGACGTCAAACGATAACTTCAGGTTTCTTATTATTAGAAACTACCAAGTAAGTCACTAATACTAACTGAATTGTTTCAAATAGAATTGAGTGGCAAGTTTTACCACAATTTGAGACGTTATGAAGCTCCTTCGGTTGTTTAATTATCTTTTTCAGTTCACATTTTTCGTTCCATAAGTACTGTAATTGTTTGTGGATTCTTGCCACTTGGTCTATTTGATTTTTTTATGTCTTTCAGGGAGTGTAGTGAAGAAGACTGTGTTGTGAAAGTGATATGTGTGTGTTAAGGTAAGTAGGTACGTATAATGTTTATATATACCTAGAAATATCGGTAAAAGTAATGCCTATTTCTCTTAAACGATAACGTATTCATTGTAATATTTATTTGAAACAAAGAATATAATTTATTAAATCATTTAATATAAAAACCCACAGTTCCGCCGTCATGACTGATCAACTGATTCACCATGACAGGTATTCTAAAATAATATTTCTATTGTTACGTTTGCATCTCATCTACCTACAACTTTTGAATAATTAACAACTGAAAATTGAAATTGTTATTTTATTACATTTAGTAAGTAACTATATACATTTATTTATTGCTTATTAACTACAGTTGAACTTGGTTATAGCAACATCGGTTATAACGCAAACACTAATGTAATGTCAATTTTAGTCCTCAAACTTATTTACCCCTTCATTGGGCCCCCGATTCATCTGGCCCGCAAGTTAATTAACATGCATTCCATAAGTTATGTATTCCATATAAAATTATAAACATACGAGTTATTGTTTGCCTTTAATTTTTTTATGAGTAAGTATTTCCAAAAAATTTTAAGCATGGGGTTCCAAATATACAAGATCCACCGGGCTCAATGCAATTTAAATTTTTATTATACAAGACCGCGGCAGGATGTCTTAAGCTGTAATGTGTTTTCGGAGGAAATTACTCAATATTTCAGCTCCTATTTAACCAATCTTTGAATTTAGATGCGCAAAATTTCACTCTCTACGGGGTGGTTCAAACATGTATTAATTTGTATGATATAAAAATGCGGCAGAATGTTGAAAAGTGAAACATGGTTTGACGAAAATCTATTTTTACAAAATCGAAAAAAATGATTTATATGATTTTCCAACTATGAAGTAGTGGTTCAAGCTAATTTCAATTTTGTTATGGAAGAGTAGCAAGGTATCGCAATGGACCATGCTTTTTAACGGAAGTATGTTTCTGCTAAATCGAAGGAAATGATTCATAATTTTGGCACCATTTTAACCAAATTTCACTCTTCACAATGTGAATCAAGCAAGTTTTAATTTGTATATTATAAAAGTGCGATAGAGCCTTGTAAAGTGACATGTGCTTTGATGAAAATGTGTTTTTGCGAAATTTAAGGAAATAATTCACAATTTCGACTGCTGTTTAGTCAGTCTTCAAAGTTGGACGCGCAAAATTTCACTCTTTATACTGTGGTTCAAGCAAGTTTCAATTTGTATGATAAAAAAGTGGGATCGGGTGTTGGAAAGTGACATGGGCTTTAACGAAGAGATGTTTCTACGAAATCAAAAGAAATGATTCATAATTTAAACACCCTGTAGCTAATTTTCCAACTGCGAAATGTTTCTATTTATTACAGCTGTTCTAGCTAATATAAACTTTTTTGTTATGAAAGAGCAGCAAGGTGTCGCAATGGACCATGCTTTTTTAACGAAAATCTATTTCTGCTAAATCGAAGGAAATTATTCATAATTTTTCCAATTCCCTCTTTGCAGTGTGGATCAAGCATGTTTTAATTTGTATGATAAAAAAGTGCGGTAGAGTTGTAAAGTGACATGTGCTTTGTCAAAAATATGTTTTTGCAAAATTGAAGGAAATGATTCATAACTTTGACATCTTTTTAACCAATTTTCAAATTTGGACACGCAAATTTTCACTCTTTTCCCCGCTAGGGCCTCGAATGTCTGCCACTAGATATATGATATATTTGTGTTGCTACAAAACTTTGAAACGGTCGGTGGCGTATTGGCCCTTTGGCACCTCGTTCGACAGAAGTAAAAGTTGCCTTGTTAACATAGTTGGCTATAACTAAGTTCTACTGTATGTGTAAAGAATACGTTTTCTAAAATTAAGCTTAAGTACGGATCTGTAAGTAATGCAATATTTGCACACTTTGAATAGTAGGTAGCAATAATATAAAATATAGACGACAAAGTAATCTATGAGATGAGTTATTAATTTTTGTTTTTCTCTTTCTTTTTCAGCTTTTCCATGATAATTATTATTTTATTTTGCTCATAAGATATTAATATCGAAAGTACTCAAAATCTCAACGAAAAAGCTACTTCGGAACAAACGGCCGCCTAATGTTTTCTAATTTCAATTATTATAATTTGGATTCTAACTTGGGAAAAATTTATGTTTTATTAGATGGAAAGAGAAAACCATTAGTACTTTTTATTTTCTTTTTTTTCCATTCTCTTTCGGTGAAGTGAAATAATCTTTCCCATATGCCATAATTGTCTTCCTTCCTATATTTCCCCGAGGATCTACTCAGAAGAACATAAACTCTAATAAGAACCACCCTAAGCACAGGTACAATTGGGACACCAGACTTTGGAGGCAGCAATTTTGTTTGCACTTTAATCAGTTGGATCGTTTTATTCGAATTTTTAATTTTTTGTTAGATAATATATTTATTTTTTCTATAAAACCTCAGCATCACTCTGCTCCTACTTTTCCTCTCAAGTATTTTCTGATGAAAAAGAGTGTATCATTGATAGTAGGCCAAGGACATCCAATACTTCGAAATGGTTCTGTAAATTCTACATTAATATGAAAAATTCCATGGACATCTTACACCACACGTCTAGATTCTCTAGATTTCATCTGTTAGTCAAAGGTAAGAGATTATAATTAAAAAAAATATTGTGTACTTTTGTTTACTGTAAATATACCCATTACGGTCCTGTCTCTTATATTCGTGTTTGCTTTCACAAAAAAGGAGGCTATATTAAGTTGCCACTGATTTTAATTAGTATTTTTTAAAAATATACAAATTGTTTGCTTATTTAATTATTGTTGTTCCCACTGCTAGTATCCTGTGCAATAGTATATTGTATAAATTATATTTCAGAAATACTGTAAATAGTATAATAATACTATTACAAATAATAATAAGAAAATCTTGATTATCAGTTTTAAAACGGTCAATTGTGTTTTAGAATAAAACTTCTCTTAAATGTTACCTTTTCAGTATAAAAAACTGAATATTTAAATTAACAATTACTCATTACGACCCTGTTCTTAATTTTCACTACATACAAATCGGCAAAAGAGGGCGCTAACAGCTACAAATCCTAGGAAATTCATACGCATAATTGGTTGCCTATACTAGCGATCATTTTTTAAATGAAAAACATTTTCTTATTTTTAATTATCATTTTGCTTTTATTAAGTGTCTTCGTATTAATCACACAACGTACATATATTATTTTTTTATTTTTATTTTTGAAAAGCGTATAAATTAGTTGTTTATTTAGTTCATATTATAACATAACATAAATGGTGAATAATAATTAATACAAAACATTAAGATTAAAATTCAAGTTTTGAAATAGTTATTGTGTCTTTGAATGAAGCACCCTTTAAATGAATTAAACCTTACATCGATTTCACCCTCTTCAATCTGAAAAAGTTTGAAAATTATAAGTAATTAAACATATTGAATATAATCAAAAAAAGTACTACCAGATCTTTTTCATAAACTTCTTTAAAACATGTGGGAGATATGCATTTTCTTACACAAAGTATAAATGAAGTACTCTTTTGTTCTGCACAACCACTTTTACATACCCCTTCCGCCTCTTGATAAGTTAGTTCCTGGTAAAGTTAATAAAATTCAACATTTTATAGTAGTAGATTATCAGTACGTATTAAAATTAAAAAAAAAATGATATTTTAAATCCTACATCTACAAATATTTTTTAAAATTCACCTACATTTTTAGTTGATTCTTTATAAGGAAATTCGGTAAATGAATAGGTCACTTTTTTAGTTAAATTCTCACTAATAAAACAAAAGAGGATAAACGCATATATTGGGAATTGCATTATTATTAATAAAACAATTCCTTTATAAAAAAATAACGGAAAATTTAAGTAATATTAAAAAATTTTGATAATAGAATCAATACTTAAAGCCGGTAAGGACTGCATGTATTCAGGTGTTAAGTGCGCGCGCATTTTATTATTATTTTATCTCTCTCATTGAACTCTATTCAACCCTACCACCTTTAGCTTCCCCTTACTTCTAAAAATCATTTTCTATGAAATCATAATCAATTCTAGATTTGTTGCTTTTGCTTATGGCGCCAACCACTTGCGGATTCTAATTTGTTTTATTGTGTTTTTTGTTATCAGCAAATTCTTCACCAAAGCGGGTAAGCAGTATATAACAGATAAATGTATAGTTTAATTTTTTATATTTTGCTTTTTTGTACTTTAATATGCTAATTGTACTATTAGATAATATAAATATTTGGGTATCAATAGGTGATTTTGTTGTGTTTAAATGAATGTGTTATAAAAGCTAGATTACAATTGCAAGGTTTTCGTAATGATTCATTTAATTCCTATTCACAGATAGTATTTTAAAGAAATGTTTATGCAAGGTTAAATCGCGTTAGAGAAACCGGTATTTCGAGCATTTTTTTCAATGTCAGTAAGTAGCTTCTCCCTACCAAGTAATTTATTTCTTCTTTCTCAAAAATTATTTCCGTATATACAACCTGTAGAACGTCCGTGCTTATTTGGTAATCATTTTTATTTTACCAATTAATGTTTAGTTTCACTTTAAAACAAAATGAATGCACCTTTTCAACAATGCATTTATTTTTTGTTGTTTTTTCATTGGCCAAACTGTTTTGCATTGTTATTTGCCATTTTCGAAAATAACAGTTAACGGTTTAAACGGATCTACATCTTTTGGAATGAAAATGCAGTCTAAAAAACTTGAAAAAAGTTTCAAGGAACTTTTGAAAATAGAAATGGACGCAGAGTGGCGACGATTAAATGTTGAAATATGGGTATGATTCCTTTTTATCCTATTTTTCCTTTATTTACCAGTAATACATGCTCTCCAATTATCCAAAAACCGTTATATTCCATATATTATAATGGCGTACAGGAGATGCAATATTATATTAGATATTTGTTGTTGTTGTAGAGTTATATTTAAAATAAATAAGAAGTAGATATTTTGTATTGGAAAAGTTACTCTCACATTAAATTTCGCGGTGAGTTCATTCGGGCAAGTTCGTTTTGTGATGCGCACGATTCTCCGTTCATTGATCGGGTTGACCCCACCATGTGTATTCATGCCCCTCTGCCGCAGCCGGGGTAGTTGAGCTTGTTTCGCACCCTAGTCGGGCGTTGCTTAATCAACTTTTAGTTTGTATGCCGACGAAAGTGCTCCATTTGTAAACAAATTTCTAGCGTTTGCTTCGTGCAGTGTTTTATGACATCGAGTTTCTAACAACCTTCAAACTGTGGGGCGCAGGGGCTTTTTTTCTTCCTCCTCACGGAATGTATTATCCGGTAAGTTGTACGAAGAGGTAACACAAGAATTTATTCCCGCGATTACGACCAAATTTCGTCATGTTCTCAACCGGCTTTATGCTTGTATGTTTTGCATTGACTCACAGGATTCTTTGTATTCACTGAATTATATTGAGCTATTTTAAGCATCTTCGTTGTACGCTTAAGCGTTCTCTGTATTTTTTTGTGTAATATCTTATATTTCGCTATAAACTTTATTAGCTGTGAGATACAAAATTATTTCTGCTTTTTTTATGCTGCCTTAATATATACATAAGTTCGAAGGTACCTATGTAATATTTTTAAATGCGGTTTCACTATACTGCAAAAATATTCCTTTTTACAAATTAATTATAAAATAAATTTGATGTAAGTATTTATCTGTTTCGATGCTCGCAGCATTTTATGCATTTATTGCTTCATATCGGATTCTAGAAAACATCTGGTAACCAAACTATATAATTATAGAATATAATTTGTACAAGATATGATACAATTTTACGAAAGAGTAGTTAAAACGACATTAATTAACTCTGGTACGGAAAGTCAAGGCCAAATAGAGGGCGCTAACAGCTACAAATCCTAGGAAATTCATACGCATAATTGGTTGCCTATACTAGCGATCATTTTTTAAATGAAAAACATTTTCTTATTTTTAATTATCATTTTGCTTTTATTAAGTGTCTTCGTATTAATCACACAACGTACATATATTATTTTTTTATTTTTATTTTTGAAAAGCGTATAAATTAGTTGTTTATTTAGTTCATATTATAACATAACATAAATGGTGAATAATAATTAATACAAAACATTAAGATTAAAATTCAAGTTTTGAAATAGTTATTGTGTCTTTGAATGAAGCACCCTTTAAATGAATTAAACCTTACATCGATTTCACCCTCTTCAATCTGAAAAAGTTTGAAAATTATAAGTAATTAAACATATTGAATATAATCAAAAAAAGTACTACCAGATCTTTTTCATAAACTTCTTTAAAACATGTGGGAGATATGCATTTTCTTACACAAAGTATAAATGAAGTACTCTTTTGTTCTGCACAACCACTTTTACATACCCCTTCCGCCTCTTGATNAATAATAACTGATTACCTATAATAATTAATAACGTTAATAAATAATAACACTCTACATGTACACTCAGCAAACAAATGATATTGTTAGGGATCTTAAGAACAAATAGGTAGGTAGGTCGATACTCACTTTAAATTCTATTTCTCTAGTTCGAATTTTTCTATTTCGTGGGAAAAATCAGCCGCAGCGAAAATCAATGGCTCTAGTTTAAAAATGAAAATTTTCAGTGACCCACTTAATAACATAATATGATGGAATACAGCAACAAAAGAGGTTAGGTTACGATCATAAAATTACGGTAGGAAAAGACAACACAAACGAAATACACTACTGGCATCGTTATCTGAGACTGGTTATGTTTGAAAATTTAAAAAGTTTGACAGTAACGCAGAATTTTCTCGAACTCGAACATAACATTTAGGAGAAAGTTAGAGAACTTTGATGGGTCACAATTCAAAAGCTTACATTAAATTTCAGTACCTAAAGATCTGGAAGGAATTTCCGTATTGCACAAACGCAGCTTGCTTCTTTACGTAGAGGGTTTCTTGACAAATAATTAGACAACTAAATCGGGACATTTGGTCCCTGTCGCTCTGTAACTACATTGGTATTAATCTCTTTCTCGTTAATGCATGTAAGTAATTATACAAAGCCACAAACATATCTTTCGTGAAGTACAAGGATATTTAGAGGAGGTAGACATTGAGACGCTAGACCGTGTGGGATAATTTGAGATTTCTTAGAGTAGATAGAGTTGTTTGGACATTATTTTATTTTCAAAGAAGGTACTTACATTTTAAGTTTCATTATTGAGTGTATTCTTTATCGTATTGCAAATCAAGAAAACAAAATGTACCCCAAGAAGGTACAATTAACAGCATGATGCTGATAGATCTCGGCCAATTTAGCCATAACACCTCATAGTGTTGGAAAATTTACGTAAAAATCATTACGTAAAAAACTTATCATCATTCATACACTCTGTATATGACCAAAGATAATTGCAAGCACAGAACTACATTAAAAAATCGTAAAAATCGGTTTAGTAGTTCGGGAGAACATTATTAACTTTGAAATTATGTCACTTTTCTACTAGTGCAATAATTTGGACTATTATACGTATCTGTATTTCTTCTAAAGGAATTCGGTTAAATTCCGCCTTTTGTATTAAATATTCGTTCTCTGAGTGATGATAAATATTTACATTTTCTGTTCTTTGCATGTTTCTTGGTATTCATACATGCACATGTGTTTTGTGTTTGTCACCCTTACAATAACGCTGTCTATTTCAAGAACAAAAGAACGCCAAAGAACTTATGTGCATATATATGTATGCATATGTGTATTCGTTTGTATGCTTGCTTGAATACAAAAAAACGCGCGTATGTGTACAGAAACATCAATGGTTATTTTTGGCCAACCTCCCATCGCGATACACGTGAATCTTCTAACAATTTTCTTCTTCTGGAATTTCAAGAAACAATTAAAATCTCTCCGAGTCGTGTAAAATATACAACAATTATAAGTGTAGGCGTAAGCATAACACAATTAATGAAAATGATGATTTAAAAGGAAAATTATGCTCTCTTAAATTGAGATTAGATTATTGAATTGTTTCGACTTTTACATGATGAGAATATCTGTTTAAATACTAATACAGAAACATTTTCGCAAACTTTTTTGCCACAACTACATTAGCTTCTTCAAACGAATTGAATTTCGTACTGACTAATGTCTGCGTAAGTAACTCATGCAGTAAATACTCAAAAAGCCAATGTTACACCCAGAGAAAACTGCAGAACAAACTTCTACAATTGTAGAACTTTTCATTACAACTAGTAGCGATTATAGGGACAGAAACAAGTTGTAGTGAAAATTAATATAATATTGTAATTACTTTTCTTCCTACAAACTGTTTGTCTCTCTACTACAACGTTATGTACTGCAAATTCCTCTTAAAAATTACTTTTCGTTGTAGCATATCTCTATACAATTATTAACAAAAAAAATATACAAAATTGTAGCATATTTGTTTACAACTGAAACGCAAATAAATATTCAATAAAAATTGCTACATTTTATCTTTATATTTTCTACAAAATTTATTTAATCTTACTACATTTTGTAATGAAATTCACGAAGTTNCTACAAAATTTATTTAATCTTATTACATATTGTAATGAAATTTACGAAGTTGTTGTTGTAAATATTTCATTCAAATTGTAAGGAATTCGTCTGAGCCTCTGTCGATATTTCCCCTACATTTACCACTACAATTTTATAGTCAAATTTAAGTTTACCGTTAGTGAACCTTACTACCTACAACGTTATAGTAATTGTTCTTACAGCATTTTTCTGAGTGTACTTTATTCGTATTAAAGATTAAATTAATTGAAAATGAGACGAATTATGGCCGTCTGTAATTCATTTTAACAAAATATATATATTAAAATTTTCTATTATTTATTCCTGTCTGCTTCGTTTGTCGCTTAGAATACTTCCTACCAAACAGCAAATTTTGAAAGCCGAATTTTCAATTCCGAACCTAACCAATTAGACTGCGAACAAATTGAT